ATATGCTTTTACACTTATTACACTTTTTATAGCTTTTTAATGTAGGTTGTTTTACCCCTTTAAAAAAGGTGTATAAGCGCTAAGCTAAAGATTTTATACATAACTAAATTACTTATATTATAAAACTTAAGTTCTTACTATGCTTTATACACACTTATAATGTAGTAATTACTTTTAGTAATATTTAAAAAGAGTTTTAAAGCGCTAGTTTAGTCTTATTTAACCTAAAATAGGTTAAAATAGCCTTTAATGTCTAGTTATGTACTTTATTACTGCTACTACTTATTAATAATAAGCCCTAGCAGTTATAACTTTTAAGTAATACTTTTAAATTTAAGTTATAATTAATGCTTATAAAAGTAAAGATTTAAAGGCATATAAATAGCTTACTAATGTCTATAGTAAAGGCCTTTAAAAAAGTTTTAAAAAGGGTAGTAATTATTGCGCATAAGCTAGTGTTAGTGTAAAAGAAGATTATAAAGCTTTAAGTAGTAAATAAGGCTACTATGCAATATAGATTACATAAAAGAAAGTAAATTTAAGTAAAAAAGACTTTAATAGTTAAGAATAGAGCTTATTTAACTACTTTAAAAAAGTTTAAAGTGCGTAGTAATAAAAAAAAAGCTAAAGACATAAGTGCGCGCTAAAAAAAGTAAGCTAAGTTAAAAGTAATATAAGCAGTGTAATTAAACTAGGCATAACTTATATATATATAAAAAAGTAGTAGAAGTAGACTTTAAATAATATCTTATGTTGTATTGCTCTATATAGGGCTAAAGTAGGCTGTTTTGCGCTAGAATAGGGTGGTTTTAGTAGGGGCTTGGCAAAAGTGGCCGGCTAACCCGTTAGGTACGTTACTAGTAAAAGCAAGTTTTTTAATATAATGTAACAGCATAGGCAAGATAATAAGTCTAAATGTAGTAGAAATCTACTTAGAGGTATATAGAAGTGCGTAGGGTGTAACGGCGCAGGCAAGACAATGGGTCCGAATGCGGTGGGAATCCACTTAGAGGCATATGGGAGTGCGTGGGGACTCTGAACCTGGGAATGCCATTAACACCTATAGGCCTTATACAAAAGGATATTAGAAAACTACTAAGCTAGCTACAGGGGCAAGGTGCAACTAAATACATAAGGGAATAGAGGCAACAGCAGGGGTTAGGGCTAGGTTAAGATTAGGGCTGATACAAGGGCCTTCTAGAGGTTCTAGGCAACTTAAGATGGAACAATTTATAAGGATTGTTACACTACCCTCCCCCCCCTCTGTAGACTAATAGTCTTTATTAGTAGTTATAGTTTAAAGTATTGCTGTTATGTCCTCTGCATCTTTAAACTAAAACTAGTCTAATTTAGCTAGGTGTCCTTGCTAAGTATTCCTTTGCACTGCTAGCAGTGTCCTCTAAACTAAACGCCATGTGTGCGCGCCTGCTCTAATAGTGATCTGTAGATGTCTAGCCTGTTACTAATTAAGACTTGCTATTTGTTTCTAGCTATCTGTACAGTTATTAATCTTAGGCGTGCGTTTAGTAAGGTGACATTTAGGTATTATTAGGGGTGCCTAAAAGGTCCCCTGCTATTAGAGTAGCAGGGATAATTTAAGGCATTATTAGGGGTGATTTAGTAGTTAGGGGTTAGTAGTTGCCTAGCAGTGTTTTAGTAGATTAGCTGCTTAAGCTGTGCTTGTAATTAAGCATAGATATACTGCTAAAGGTTAACTCTAAATTAGGTAGGTCTAGCTTTAGGTCCTGCAGACGCAGGTTTAGCTGTTAACAAGGTAGTAGTTAGTAGTTAGGGGTTAAAAGTTAGGCATTAGCAGTTGTTTCTAATCTTAATAAGTTATTAGTAGTCTTTAAGTTTCTACTTTAGCGCATTCTTTGCAACTTTTCTAAAGGCAATTCTAATTATATAGGGATAGGAAGTTCTAAACTTAAAGGCTTTAGTTAACTAGAGGTTAATAGAATCTAGTCTATAAACTAAATAGTTTAATATAACAGTGTGTAAGTATTACAACTTAAACTAAATTAGACGCGTCTTAGGCTTAGACATAGTTAAATAAATAATTAGTGTAATATTATACAAGGCTGTTACTAGCAAAAGTAAGTTTTCTAATATAATGTAACAGCGCAGGCAAGACAATAGGTCTAAATGCAGTAGGAATCCACTCAGAGGCATATAGAAGTGCGTGGGGACTCTGAACCTAGGAATGCTATTAACACCTATAGGCCTTGTACAAAAGGATATTAGAAAACTACTAAGCTAGCTACAGGGGCGAGGTGCGACTAAATACATAAGGGAATAGGGGTAACAGCAGGGGTCGGGGCCAGGTCGAGATCGGGGCCGATACGAGGGCCTTCCGGAGGTTCCGGGCGACTCGAGATGGAACGATTCATGAGGATCGTTACATAGGGACTTAGAACCTAGGAATACTATTAACACCTATAGGCCTTGTATAAAAGGATATTAGAAAACTACTAAGCTAGCTACAGGGGCAAGGTGCGACTAAATACATAAAGGAATAGGGGTAACTGCAGGGGACAGGATTAAGTCATAGTCGGGGCCGATACGGGGACCCTTTGGATAGGTTCTGAACGACCCGAGATGGAACGATTCGTGAGAGTCGTTACACTGCAGACAGTGTAATTAGACTAGGCATAACACGCAAATATGTAAGTAAGAAGCAGAAGTAGTATCTAAATAATATTCTAGGCTATACTATACTATATAGTGCTAGAGCGGGTTGTTATAGGCTATAATAGAGTTTGTTAGGGTGTGGTCTTCGCAAAAGTAAGCGACTTGGGTGTGTGAGCAACTCGCCCATGAAGTACGTTATTGCCTAGCCTTTATAAGTTAGCTATAGAATTAGCTTATAAAAGTTGTCTAGTATATTAGTTATTTATTATCTTTTAAAAGACTTTATACATAGCTACAGCATGTTAATTTACAAATCCTATTAAAAAGGGCTAAGAAAGATTACTTAAGCAGGTACAGTTAGGGTGTAAGTCAGCTAGAGGAAACACATACATTCAGATCATGATGAGGATTCAAGAGGTATACAGTCATTCCAAAAAGTCTGTCCCATGGCCTGAGCGCTGAGTTGTGGGAAGGACTATTGCTGCCCTCTGTTTTCTGATCTAGCAAACAGCGCTTTGATAATCATTCCGGCGATCCTACCTCCTTATGGACAACACCTGGTTATAGGTATTAATGTCGGTCTCAGTCAGATTAGCATTGGATGCGGCCCCATTCTCAGTGAAACCTTTACCCTGTTTGTCTCGTGGCGCTGGTGTATGTCGAGATCTTTTCGTCAGAAATCATTGGATAGATAATCTCCTCGCTTGATTAAATAAATAATCAAATAAATGCCTACTCTCATGCTTCTATATAAATCTCCCCATAGGCGCTTTAGTCAGTGCTCTCCTTACCCACCTCCAAAACTATGAATCCAAAGCCAAGCCACCTGTCCCAGAGGTCCGCAGCACAACAATCCACTCCCTAGGTGTGCTAGAATTCATTCTCGTCCGCTCCAACATCCATCATGTTCCTCCTAGCACTCCAATAGGGCGGCAATTATTACCCCTGGAACTGCCCAACAGTCATCAGTCTATTTATTGTCGCCCCTGACACTATCGTGGCGTTTTCAATGCTCAGCAAACAGGTTATTTAGCGGGCCACTGTCACCATAGCTTCCTACATAAGGTTGTTGTTTTGTTCAAGGTTTTCCTATTACTTCCTGTCCGTGACAAATAACCAGGCACTTATAAGTAGGGTTAACAATTTACCAACTGTTATCTGCTAGGTCGTATTTGCTATTACGTCTAGCACATGTAAGAGTTTTCAATAAAACAGACCCTCTTTCCCGCTTTTTGAGAATATTCAGACATCCATTAACTCAGTGCATATCATATCATACAGCAAAAACACTCAGCTACTACCTTCCATAGAATCTCAGCAGCACGATCTTGACGATGAAGATATACATCAGCTAAACGCCCTATCACCCGTCCTAAATCACAATCTAAGACCTAATTTCCGCGCCCCGCTTCTCCTTCGTAATGGTGACCTTAATCTTCAGCCAGAACCTGGGCGATTCCCTATTTCTAAGTTGCGGCGCGGGCTTTCTTCACCAACACTCTCCGCCAGCGGACTTGGTGGTATGAAGTTGGCGTTAACATGATGTTATTATTGCGGCGGGAGCTCGTTCCATTCACCTCTTGGTCTTGGGTGAACGGTTAGTTGGCGTTCTCAAGGGCTTTAGTACATGCGTTGGCTGGGTTATATATCTCAATGGAGGGATTGGTGGCATAGCGTTTTTATGCGTGCAGGGGTCAAGTGGAAGGATGTTAGACTGGGCAATAGAAGTAGAGATATGCGTAAGACAGCAGGTTAAGGGGAGCATCAGGAGAAGCGGGATTAAGGTGCTGAGATTATTTTTCTGCTGCTCTTTCTTCATTCATCATTGTCTTCTCTATTGGTCTAGGAAGGCTGATAACCACATAGGAGGGTTAGGAAAGCTTCTTCTTGTGGCAGAATTCTGTGTTCCATATTACAGCAAGCCTCTCCGTTCTACCGTAACAAGACGTATCAGGACGTATGTCGAAGCCCAGGTAGCTAGGACTGGATATACCAAATGGGACTACATGAGCTAGCGTCTCCCAATCAGCTATTTGTTTAACAATTTATTTTCCAAGACTAAGCTATATAGACATGCCCACTATCCATATTGTCTTGGGAGGAAACCCATTTCTTCCTCTCAACCCATTGTATCACTAATACCATAGCCAACCCACCTGTTTTCTCCTTCCTGAACATCCGCTCCCTCTTTCCTAAGAAAATAGACCGAGATCACGCACTCCTACGCAAACACGTTCTTAAGCTTTAAGCCTTAATACGTAGAACGGAAGTATCGCGAATGAGTATTGCGATCATATTAGGCAACTCCCCAACTACCAGCGTCAAGCACCATTGCAGAAAATGTACGTAAATATTAGATTGGGAAATTGGTAATGTGGTACCGTGCAGGCGATCCCCTCGCTGATCCCAACCTGATAACCAGTGATCAATGAGGGTGGCCAAGTACAAGGTAGTTTGTCATGCCTCAGAGCAAAATAATACCCGCCCAATGGAAGGCCGCAATACATGAATATCTGAAGTGAACAGACAAGCCTCAAGACTAACTCCCCGTGTCCTGTGTTCCATACCAACCTACGCGACCAGTCCCATCCGGATATACTAATATCAGACCCCCTCCAACACCATGAACCAAACCCAAACCCAAACGTCACCCACCCAATTAGCTAATCAATAATCGAACCCATTACCCCACCCAAATACTAAACGCCATCCATGCAATGCAAATCTAATTCATACATCACAAAACAGGCCATCAGGCCGTAACCATCGGCAAGCTAGCTGCACGCCCACCCTCCCCTCTCATAGGAGAATCTCCGGCCGTGCGCATATGACGCGGAGTCGGAGGCTTTGTTGGGGGGAAGATTGTCGTAGGAATTGTCTCAAGTTCTGAGGTATCGGTATCCGTTGTGACAGAGACATCTGCATCAGATTCGAGTTCCGAGGGTGGGTAGTCGGTGGATGTGGATGCAGATGCAGATGCAGACGCTGATATAAATGTGGTTGTGCCTGATTCGTCGGGTGGAGGTGTGGGATATATAGAGCCGGGAGATTCAGGCTCTCCAAAGCCTCCGCGGAGAATAGGAGGGTTGTTGTGGGACGTTGGACGAAGAATAGGAGACTCTGGGGGTGTAAGCAGGAAATCATCAGAATTGTCATCCGGAAGCGGGATCTGTGCCACGACCTCGATTGGTGGCAGCTTAGCGATCTTTGTCGCATTTAAGAAGTCGAGAGATACGCTTGGCGATGGATCAATGCGTTCGTAGAACAACATGAAGACGTTTCCTTGTGCGAGAACATCCTTCGTTGAACGTGGGTAGACTGTCTCGTCGTCGAATAACCACCACTGGTCGAATCCACCCGCAACATCCATGCTATCCACATCGCGGTGCGTAGACGGGAGTTGCCCAGTGTTTCGAAAGCACACGTAATGTCCACTTCCATGCTGCCCTCGATGCGTCACCACCGCCCTCAGCGCATAGCGAAACGATGAGGTCTTCATATCCTTAGGATCCACGTTCATATCCGCAATCAGACTCTCGTTGGGATCGTTCGGCCACTCTTCCACCTCCCCGTCATTTCCCTGAGACTTTGACGGCCGACTGCCCAAACACCAAGGACCGAGGTCCAATTCCTTCGGAAACATGACATTAGCGTGGTTCTTGACAATATTGAAAGTTCGTTCATCGACAACACTGCGATTAACATGGAGAGCGAGCGACTTTGGTGCACGAGCGATGACTTGTTGTTTCGTCTTCGTGCTCTCCGTTCTATTCTTCTTTGCAATCCCGCATTTCTGCGTCAGCGTAGAATCCTCAAGGTCGTCCTCATCGAGCGCCTCCTGCACATTCTTCAGACGAGTTTCAAAACGGATCCTTGAGTCATCTGCCATGGGTTTTTCAAGCAAGTTGGAGAGAATTTTCTTGTTCCGGAGGAGCGTGCATTTCGTGCATTGTACGCCGTTAATCCTCTCGACTCTGCTGTATTCATCGAGGCAGTCGCGGATGTCGTAGTCACGGTAGATGTCTGTTCCGAGGTGGACTGTAAGGCAGTTAAATTCGGAGAGTGTGAGGCCTTCGGAGTAGCCGCAGCCAGTGCAGGCTACGCGTTGAGCGATGAGGCCGCTGAGAGGATTTGGGTCTGCCTTTGGCCGGCTTTCCGTGTCAATATCCTGGTCCTGGTCCTTTGGCTGCTCCTCGGGTGGGCCTCCATCCACCTGGGAATGATTATTCTCAGGAGACCCGAGCTCAGCGGCTGCTGTAGGGAGGTTGAGCAACTGCTTCGCAAACAACGACCAAGATTGCCCTGACCGGTTTTTACTCGACGACTGGACATGAACCTCCTTATCTAGTGCCTCTAAAATCTTAGAATAGTACTCCTGAGCATCTTGATGCTGGGTGACGCTCAAGAAATGCAAGTTGTGTGGAACTTTGAAATACTGGCGGCCGTGCTCGGTGTCGTTGAGGCCGGTGATGCAATCGAAGAGGGCGCCGTTGGTAGTTCTCAAGTCCAACGCTTCGTACTCGGAGGTGGTGTGGGAGAGATAGTCTTGTAGAGAAGGAAGTGACGCTAGGCCCTAAAATATGTGTTGGTGAAGGAACAATTTGCACTAATCAGCATTCACATACCTGCACAACGCTGTTCTCGAAACACGAGGCATGAAGGTTAATCAGACCAGGAGGTACATCGCTAGAGCCCTTTCCACTCCTCACGAAGCCATTCCTATTAAACCCGAAGAGGGTCCCCAGTATATGACCTGTCTGCTTCTGAGTGTCGTCGTCGGCACCAGGCTCTTCGCCAGACGTTCCAAGAAGGAATGAGGAAGGAAAGCGCGGCAGCCTGATAGGAACTGACGTCGTCTGGCTAGCCATATCCACAGCAATCTGTAACCAAAGCCAAACCGGGTATCCCAGAAGCTCTAGGGACTTGAAGACCACATAGACTAGAACCAAGCCGGCAAGAAGCTGCGACCGAAGGGAGGTTGAGGAATCTGATATGAGCGTACCGTGGTCGGTGGGTGCGTAGCGCGCGCGGTGTGGTAAATATTCGTCATTCATCGCTTCTTTGTCGTGGCTGTCTCTGGTGTGTGCGTAGAGTCTAGGGGTGTTTGCGGAGGTGAAGTGGAGGATGTCGCGGACAGCGGAGGCGGGCGGCCGTGTTTAGCCTTCTGGCCAGCGCGGGGCGGGATGCAGCAAACACGGAGGCGTTGGTCTTGTATGCGACATGGAGAGGAGAATGAGACAGTGTCGCAGTGTCGCGGTGGGGAAGAAGAGAGGGTGGTAGTGCAGAGAATGAGTGAATGTTTCGGCCACGTGAAAACGGTGTCGGGCATTAGGAAGGGCAATTCCGCCGCCGCGCCGCTGCAGGAGAGGAGAGAAATCTTGGCATAGAGGTCCCACAGGAATTTTGGAATCGCGAAGACAGAACCACGACCCGAGTCGCCTGCCCAAGCGCAAGATCCCCCAGTCTTCCATTCCCCCATGGCGAAAACCGCAAAACTAAAGAAGCGCCGTACGTTTGCTCCCATCCCCCTACACTCTCCTAAGCTAACCCACGCAGAATCAACCCTCCACTCCCGCGCCTCCCGCCGCGCCCTTTCACCCCCCACTGCCATTACTCTCTCGAAATCCCTCTCAACTACAACCACGACCAGCTCCCGTCCCTCCACAACACCAAATCCACACGTCCTAGCCGCACACTCCGCCGGCATTACTAAGAAACCTAAATTCAAGCAGCTAAAGCGGCAACAGCGAATACGCCACCAAAAAGGCCTGGAGCGCGCGGCTGATGTGTTGGATAAGAGGGAGCTGAAGGTGCAGAAGTCTGTGGGAAAGGAGAGGAAGGTTCGGGACAGGAAGAAGGGGTGGGAGGATGTTAATGAGAGTAGGTTGAAGGTCAAGAGTAGAATGGGTTTTGAGGCGTTGGAAGAGGATGGTGGTTCAAGAAGGGAGAGAGAATGGGTCAGTGATGAGGAGATGCCTGAGGTCGAGGTTGCGGCTGAGAGTGAAGGAGATGAAGTACTGGGGCTTGGGATTTCTGGGGAGGTTAAGGAGGTTGTGGTGCCTGAGAGTGTGCCGCTGCCTGTTGCTTCGGCATTTGAAGAGGATGAGCTGCTTTGAGGGGGATTGAAGGTCATTTGTGGATCATGACCTCCAGATGCTAGGCGAACGCCGACTACGAACAATTTTATTGCGGTACTTCTCCGGTCTGGGTTGACTGAGAAGCCGGAAAATGGAACTTCGTCTCGAATGCAGTCGCTAGAAAGCTGTAACGACGGATACGGATCTCATTTCAAGAAGAGCGCGGCTACCGGCACCTTTGCCATGCAAAAACTATATAGATACCCTTTCGCCCAAAAATTCCTGCAGATGCTTCCCAAGTATGGCCCTCCGAATATGCCTTCCAAACGCTTGACAATGCTCATGTGCCTCCAGCATGCGTTCGCATCCATATCATCTCGAAGCCTAGCGCTACATCACGAACCGGGCGAACCCGTGGAAGAACGCCTATATATTCCCAACTACTCCTCCTGCATGCTCACCTGGCTCTCCCCACCAGTCCTTGACGAAGCGTCCATCTCCTCGCTAATACTTCCCAACCCTCCCCATGTCTTCCCTGCCGTCCTCATAACCAACACTCGATTGAGATCCTTGTCAAACCATCTCTCCCTCCTCTTCGTTTCTCTTCTCCCACCCTCCATTGCCACACGACTCGCTCTCGTTGTCCGTGGACGTTTATTCCTTCCACCCTCGGACAACAAGTTACCAACACGAAGTCTCTCAGCTTCTAGGCGAAGATCGTGAGCAACAATGCTTCGGATGTAAGGCCCGAGGTCATGAACAATGATGTCAAGGGTACGATCAAAGGAGGAGGCGGTTAGTTGGTAGGATGTGGAGAGAGAAAGGGCGGTGGCTGGTGGTGAGGCGAGGATGTCGAAAGCTAACGAGAAGTCAGGCCAGCCCAAACTGTGGTCAGTTTGGGCTGAGGTCTTGTGGCGGAGGATCGCATCTGTGAAGTCGCCTTCGGTTGTGGGAATGGAGTGTTGGCATTTCGGATTCGCTAAACCTTGGCTGAGAGTAAAAGCACGATGAATAGTTAGGTGGGTCTGGATGAACATCGTTGTGTCGAAATTGCTGAAGTCTGAGATGTGATCGATCTGGATGACTGGAGCAGCTTCCGTGTAGTTCAATCGTTCCTTGTCGAGCATGGGCGGTAGAGACGGGTCAACGAGTTCCTGATATTGGCTCTCGTACGAGGGCAAACCAATGCGACAGTAGACATCGGCAGCACTAAAGAAGTCTGACATAATTTCGAAGCGCTCGAGGCTCTGAAGTTGATCACTCTCGATGCCAGAATACCGTGCGCATGGGAACTCCAAGTTACCAGTCCATTCGCAAGGGCTGATACCCCAGTGTGACCACGTCTCCTTAAGTAATTCTTCTTCTTTGTCAAATATTACACTTCCTGTGGAGGCGGCTACATCATGACATAGCCATCCCATGCCGGACTGGTAAGTACCTTCGCTTGCGACACGGAGAACGCGCCCCTTTTCGTCCACATCCTTGCCGGGGGGCCACCTTTGATAGATCCATTCCAGACCACCTTTTCTGTCACCGACGGACATTTGGCACCAAAAGTCTAGCTCGGTAACACTGGCGCGCAGATCATGATCCTTGGACTTGAAAAGGTCACACACAGCTTCCCGCCTTAGAACATGGCCTTCCTTAGCGGCAACGAGCAACATGTAATCAGTCACAAGGTCTACCGGAGGCGGGGAAAGTCGAAGAATGGCGCCAAGCGGCAAGTCGTACGACGGGATAAGGGATTCATCGTTACAGGTAATGACAATGGGCCTTTTTGATTGGGATGCGAGCCTAATGACTTGGGCCCAGAATTGTTGATCTGCTTCGAAGAGGATATCGGCCTCCTCAAACAGGATTAGGGATTGTTTTTGAAATTTCCGTGGTGCATGAGCCTTTAATAGAGTAGCTTGGGCTGTATTGGCTATCTTTCCGGGTTCTCCGGGGGGTTTCGCTTTTGGCATCGGCCTCGCTTTGGTTTGGGGATTTGACTTGAAAAACGACGTCATTGTGCCTTGCCGTCCACTGTCAAGATCCTTTTGAAGGGCTTGACTCATACGTTCGTTATCGGTGTCTTCAGCAGGTACGACATCTAGGCTGACCTTTGGTTCGCTACGCTTATGGCTTACAAGGTGGTTTTCGGACATATCTCCAACCTTGTCTTGGATATCCTTTCCAGAACGGCGACTGCTGGAGTTGATCTCAAATACCTCAAAGGCCAACTCCTTAGCAACTGCATATACAGTAGCACTTTTGCCACAACCGGGAGGTCCACTGATAATCACTACGTTCTTGTTCCTCGTCATCTTTGCCCGTCTTACAGACCGTTGTCTGGAGTGGTTCGACCGTGATCGACCGAATTCTTCACTTTCTGATAACTCTATCATGTCTTCGTCATCATCTTCATCACTAGAGACGATAAAGTCATCTTCAACCTGCTTTCGCTTCTTCTTAGGCGGTCTCTTCTGCTCAGAGGTGTTTGAAGTTTTGGATGCATCCATTCCGCCATCGACAGCCTCGACGGTGAGGTTCTTCAGCCAGTCTCGAAGGACCATAGCTTCCTTTCCAGACTGTAGGACATGTGAAGCACGGCTGGGAGCATATTTTTGAACCCAAGATTGGGTCTCGCATACGCCCCTATCAAATGGCGTCAGGGTGTCCTCGATATCCTTAAAGAGCGAATGGAGGGCAGGATGGACTCTCGTCTTAGCACACTCATCCTCGTCGTAGTCTCCCAACGGAGCTCGAACTTCTTTCCGAACCATTTCACGTATATCGATTCCAGTGGTGAGCAAACGAGTTGGTAGGCGGATTTGATCCGAAGCTTCACGGGATACCTTCAGACGTTTGGAAAACTTTGCAATCAAGTCTTCGTCTTGGGGGACATCAATAGTATTATTCTTTAACTTCCGCTCTTTTCGGATTCGATGCGAGGAGTCCGGAAACTCGTCGGGAAATAAGATTGCATTATTTTCAAGATTTCGAACGTGTGCGGTGGCCTTGGAAGGCCACAGTGGTTCGTTCATCCCCAGGTATTTCATGACCCGGCTATCTCCAACAATTGGTCCAAAAGCTGGGAATGGCCGTGGAGAAGATTGGGTTTGAGTTTCGGCCCTCAACTTCCCAGGAGTCACAGCACTCTTCCTCAGAGTCTTTGGAGATTTTAGAATCAGTGTCTCAGGAGGGGCTTTGATGGCGGGTGGCTCCTTCTGCGCGGATTTCCCGAAAAAGAACGGATGTGTAGGCCTCGGGGGACCAGCCGGCTTCACTGGTTCCTTTCGAGGCAAGGGGGTTGCTTTCAGCTGCCTTTTACCATTGATGATGTCTTCAATAGTTTTGCCAAGAGCACGTCGGCTCTCAGTGTCAGACCCATACTTGATTATGGTCACGGTCGGTGAAGAGACCGGTTGTGGAGGTTTTCGACCACGTCTTCTTTTGGGACACGCTGACGATTCCGTGTCCGGTTTCGCTAGCGGTGGGGGGGATATCAACTTGCCATTCCCAGTGACCTTTAATACCTTCTTTCTTGGTGTGGTCTTCTCAAGTCTATCCTCTACTACGAGTGGAGTTGGAACGTTGGGATTTGAGAGGGGAGGAACTTCGTATGCTGCTTTGGGCGGTGCATTGCTATTTGAAGCGTTTTCCATTCCGATCTCCTGCCTCTCAAGTCCATGTCCACTTCCAGTGAGTGCTTCGGCATTTAGGGAGTATGGGTTATCCTCTACACTTTCCGACTGGTCCTTCTCGGCCTCGATCTGCAACTGTCGAACCCAATCCAAAGCCTCAGTCGACTGCGGTAGCTCGGCTTCGCCAGTTTGGACTGAGGAGGCTGGAGATGCCGTCTTCCTCCGTTTTCTCCGATCTTGATTCAGTTCTTCTTCTGCAATCGAGTCTCCAGACGTTTGCAACACATCCACGCCGCCAATAGCAGTCCCTTCGCCTGCGCCAAGGCCATTCGACTGGCGGGTAAATCTTTCGAGTTGTGCCTGGTTCTTCCGTCCTGGCCCTTGATCGTTCTTTTCTTTGGCTTCCGTAGGCTTCCTTTCCCGCTTCTTGCGACCCTTAGCGACCTGCGCACTCCTGTCTGGTCGCTCACTGTCAGGGACGTCGTTCGTCGGCTCGCGCGATGTCTCTGTCGAAGATGTGTTTCGCTCTGGTGAAGGGTTCCCTGAAACCAGGTAAGCTAGAGGTAGCTGATAAGCGGCTGCGTGCATACTGAGGGGCTTGGTGAAGAATGGGTGTAGATTTTTCTTCTCCAGATTCATTGCGGTTTGCACCGCAGCAAGGGCCATTAATGACGATTTCAGGGCATGGCTGTGAATTAATGTTGGGAAAAGGACAAGAAGTGCGTTACGAGGGAGTCGGTGAAAACTTGGGGGACGTGGCGTGGAGGTGAACGTGAATACTGAAGGTGAATTGAAGGAAGAAGCTACGACTGGAGATGGGCGGCGCGTCTGATGCACGCGACGCGCTTGCGAGAAGAGGTCACGTGCCAAGTCGCCTAATTAAACGCCAAGATTGCACCTTCCTGAGCCGAGGTCCTCACCGCCCTCTGTTACTGCCAATTCAAGATGGTAAAAAAATAATCGGCAGCTGCAGCTCTTCCACGCCCGCTGCATTCCCACCCAACGACCCACGCAGACCCTGTCTGGCAAACAAAATGTCGTTCGACAAGGAAATTGAGGCACCTTTTACTTTGGCCTCTTTACCACGTCCTCTTCAATCCACGGATGGGCAGACGCAAGCTTCCGGTGTCTGTAGTCTTAGCGGCGTGAGGAAGAGGAAGAGGACTGAGATTGCCGTTGGTGTCGATGGAGAGGGTGTCCTTATATACAGTGTACGCATCCATTTTTGTAACTCCAGCGTCATTAGCTAAACTCTGTCAAGCTTCAAAATCCACAGCTCGTCACCTCATACGCATTGCCGCCATGGACGTCTTTCACGACTCCCCCATTTTCTATTTATCGGAAGGGCTCCTCCAAGCAGCCCTCCTGCCGCTTCACTTATGCATCTGTCTCGCCCTGCTCGCCTGTTGAAAGCCATCAGCTGATCTGCTTTACGGAGGAAGTCCACCTCATGAAAGAAAATATCGCCGATACCACTAAAACATCCTACACCATACCCAAATCCACGTCTAAGGTCGTCGCCATAGATTTAATACCCATATCCGCCGGTACCCAAGATAAGAAAGTCTCTCATGACGTCCTGGTCGTCTTTGATGACGGTCATGTCACATCGCTCTCGTCCGATCTCAAGTCTCAAAGATGGCACACAGACCTTAACACTTTGGCTGCATCCGGTACACAAGCCAATGTCCGAGGCCTATTAAAAGTCGAGCATGTCACGGTAACCATGGCAAAAAAAGTGCTTCGTGGCTTGTTACGTAGCCGAGGAGACATTGCAGCCACCCTAGGTCCCCCTATGGGTGCAAAGTCTGAGATTTTGGAACTCATCCAGGTTCTATGTGTCGTTTCCAAGCGCCGAGATGGCCAGTCTAACGATGGCATCTCTACTACACTAGACCTATATCAAATATCGCCGCGATCTCCGGACCTCTTCACCAGCCATATGCTTCCTGTGAAGCACTTGGTGACGTGGGAGTTGCCTTCACCCTCATCGAATGACATCAATGGCGCTTCAAAATCGGTGTATTCTCTTCATTCCGCTACGGGCATCCTCCATCAACTGACCAATGGTGTTCTCTTCTCCTATGATTTCTCTGAAACGGTACCTAAGCGTTATGCACAGCTAAAGATTCCTGGGCTCGGGAGTACTTCCTTTATTCGTATATTTCCCGATTTGGTGTTCACGACCTCCCAGAATTTCTGCGGGATATTTGATGTCAAATACAATTCGATCCAGGCGTTAGTGCCCCTCAAACAACGACTAACCGCCTCGCCGGGATCCAAGAAACGGAAACATGCAGAGCCAGAGTCTGTCTGCGAAACAGAAGCAGGGCCGACGTTGATAACGTATTTTGCAGACATTGAGCTGGCGGTTGGTATTCTCAACCATGAATTGATTGGCATACAGCTTGCTGGAACCCTTGCGCGCAAGAAATTCAGGGCAGATGGTACTCTTCTCATCAACTCTATTGGCAAGGGGATTCAGTTTAGATCTCAGGACTCACGGGACTGTGACATCTTAGCACCCAAGGCACGAGCAAGCAACGATCCGGGGAGTCTATCGAGAAACGGTCAACAGTGGCAAGACTGGCAGAGGAAAGTGCACAAGCTCGACAAGTACGCGTCAAAGGGGAAAGTTTCAGAATTTGAAGAACTATTCGCACGCGAACTAGATGTAGACTTCACAGATGCCGATACCACGAACCCAGATATGCCCCAGATTAAGCTCGAGAATGGAGCTGAAAGGAGTCTCTTGACAAACGGAGTAAACGAAGATACACCTGATGATCTGTCTGAGGCGGCTATTGCAGAAAGACCGGGCGAGTCCTCGGGCACTGAATTAAGGAAGTGGAAACTTCCAAAGGTTATCACAGATTCTCATAGGCATCGCCACAGGCAGCATGCTGTCTATGCACTAAGCAAAATATTCCAATGGGAAGACCCTGGGTCGCGAACCCGAAAAGAAGCCAACCATTCATCTCTCCAAGTCAGATTTTTCCCTCCCAACGTTTTTCAATGGCTTCTACTGTCCGGTTACCTCACCAAAGAGTCTATACGTCGCTCTCTATTAGAACTCTCTCCGGATGCTTCAGGAAGCATTCCTTCCACTTCTGACGGAGACATTGTTAATTCAATTGTGAGGTTCGACCCTGAATTACACATCCTATCCGCAATTTTGAACCACAGCAACTACCTTCCGGTTGGAGAAGTGGTCCAAGCTATCAATATTTCAATGCAAAACCTGGACGACCGCCCTCAGGCCGACGCCGAAGCGAAGCTTTCAGCAAGTGGCACTACGCTACCAGAAGTCGAAATGAATGTTGATTTTGCCTCCGAACTAGAGGCTGCCACACACGACCTAGACCATGCCCTATCGATTTTAAATAACGGCCTTTTTATCCGTAGCCATACTCTTCGCCCTGCCCTCATCAGACTCCATACCTTTCCTGCTTCCATCATCACTTCGACACTCCGGTCAATTCTTCCTCGTCGCGAGCTTGAGTCCTTAGTTCGACTCCTTCTCTCGGAACTCAAGAACGGCGGTTGGTCCTCAACGTATGACTTCATCGACCCGGATTCTCTTCCAGCCGAATCTTTATCTGAAGAGCCCGATGACCACGCGATTGCCATCATCGCTTCATTGCTCAGCTGCACCCTCGATGCGATTGGGCCAAGCGCCTGGCTTGCTGCTAGGGAGAAACCTTCAGATGAATCAACAGAAGAGATGATCAATGATTTGCATGAAGAAACAACACTAGCACTCAACGGATTTTGGGAAGCCCGATTCATGAGAGGTCTCTTAGGCGAGTTCCTACGATACGCGGCAAACATTGCGAAGAGTCAAAAGCCAACGAACACGTTGCTGCAAAAGCAAGGTAAACCATTTGAGACTGACATTGCGACGGATGGGACACTCCCTATGCTCCCTCTCGGAGGGAAAGTAGATCTGGGTGTTGAGAAGACGAAGCCAGGTAAGGGTGGGAAAAAGGAGGAGCGAAGCGCCCGTGAGATTGGGATGCTGATAAGCAAGAAAGTACCCAAGTATAGCTTCGAGAGGATTGTGATATAGTGGAGGGAGTACTAGCATGTCAAAGATACCACCAGTTCATGCAAATTTCAGTGCGCACAGTCCATCTGTATGTTTGGGCCTTTTATTTAAGCGCAGCTTAGCGCATGCTAGGAAAACATGTTATAGGTTTTGAATTGTAGAGAAGGTTGAGGAAGCGAATAATACCTCATAAGTTCACCGGTTTTCTATGTTGCTGCAAACCCCGCATTGCTTAGATAACAGCACTTATCACGAGGTGAGCCACGCTGGCGCCCTCCACCCATTAGTTTTGTGTTTCGTTACTCTATTGTTGTTGTTCATTTTGACTCATTCGCGCACGCGTCTTGCGTTTTCTCGAGTTTTTTCTACAATCACTATGGAAGCTCTTGTCGCGGTGGGGCTTGCAGCTAACGTGATCCAATTTGTTCAGTTTACTTGAAGCGTAGTCAATGAAGCTATCACTACCAAGAGATCTGGTTCGCCTCCTGATATAGATGACCTCAAGAAACTCTCAGAGCATTTGGTAAAGCAAACTGGTGAGATCAGAGCTCAACTCCAGGACAGTGACTCCATGCGATCCATGGAAGATCAGGTCAGTATAGAATAGCTCTCACGAACAGCCGTCGTCAGTAGCTGGCCAATGCAGGTCCTCTTGGATATTGCCTTGAGCTGCGAAAACTCGGGAAATGAGTTGATTATATATCTAAACACCTTTCTCCCCAGCTATTCTTTGAATAATCTCCCCTGAGATTCCAGGAACAATATTCCGAAAAATCTCTACCGTCAACTCCAAGCGAGCCTCAAAGTCCACTGGGCCCACAACAAGCTTGAAACGTTTGCATCGAAGCTCGAGAAATTTCGTAGTCCACTCATGTTGGCCTCTCTCCTTGCCTTTCGGTCAAGTACGGACGAGCATAATAGGAGAGTACTAGCATTTCTCGAGAATATAAATCCAGAAGACGCTGCCTTAGGCTTGCAACACAAAGATGCACTTAGAAAAGTGCAGGAGATGGTAGACGATTGGCGGAAAGATACAGGCGTCAAAATCGACGATATTCAAGAGAAGCTTCACGAGTGTTTAACAGGAATATATGCTCAACCAAGGCTTAATCCATAATCAGGAGGCTGCTATTCTCGTGTGGCTTAATTTCCGGCAAATGTCCTGAAGGTACGAAGAGTTCCCGATTGCTTACAAGAGTACGTATCAATGGATCTTTGAAAAACCTGCCTCGGATGAAACTTGGGGTGATCTTACTGGCCATCTATCCGGAGATGTAGCCACTCCTTACTTTGTGAACAGCAAGGCAGGAAGTGGGAAGTCGACACTCATGAAATATCTAGTTAGGGCAGAACCGACAATGAAAGCTCTTACGCAGTGGACTGGGACAAAACAGTTACTTGTGATAGACTTCTTCTTCTGGAATATTGGTACGCCGATGCAGAAGAGCTTTTGCGGGATGCTGAGAACTATTCTTCGTAAGGGTTTGGCCCGGTACACTGAGCTGATTCTGGTAGTTTTCCCAACACTGTACCAAAACTGAAAGTAATCGGAAATGGAAACGGAGCCTACCTATGTGGAACTAAAAAGAGCACTCGAGCTTTTGATCAAGAAGTCATCGTCGTTCTTGAAGTTGTGTATGTTTATTGATAGGATTGACGAGTTCGAAGGTACCCATAATAGCGAAGGCGCCCACAGGGATATCTCGGAATTCCTGAAGTCTTTAGCTTCGGAAAATGACAAGCTGATCATATCAAGCCGGCCGATCAATGCATGTCTCATTGCATTTCAAGGTTGTCCATCACTGAGGCTCCAGGACCTTACAAGACGTGACTTGGGGATCTTTATTGACGGCGAGTTTACGCTCCATCCATCTGTAGTTGGATTAGCAACCCGATTTTCTCTGGAAACTCAAGATCTTGCCGAAGAGATTTTAAGAAGAGCTGAAGGGTTTTTCTTTGTGTATCCCTGGTAGTTCGAATACTTCTAGAAGGTTTAGAGAATGGGGATAACATGCAAGATTTGTGACAGAAGCTTTGGTCCCTTCCCTCAGATCATCGAGATCTGTACACGCGGATGATGGCTAAAATGTCACTCGATTTTCAGATCCAGGCTTCCGAAATCTTTCAACCTTTTCATTTGTGGAATTCTACTTTGAAGAGCGAGCCTCTGGAGAGCCTTTTGCTCTATTTCGCAGTATAACGCCCATCGGACGTTTTTAGTCTTCCGGATGCGCCCCTTACTAAGGAAACCCTGTAATGGAATCGTAGTCATATTAATGTAAGGATAAGGAGCCGTTGTTGTGGGCTGCTCGAAATACACCAGAGAGGACATGACGGCGAATTCGGTGCCTCGCTTGACGATTCTTTAGCCTCCACCGACCCCCATATGTTGATAGTCAGTTATCACCACCGAACCGTTGCCGAATTCCTTCAAGACCTTTATGTAGGGAAAGATATATGCGAACAGACAAAGCACTCAAGTTTCAACATCATTTCGAGCCTTGCTTCTGCAAGCCTCTCGATGCTAAATATTTCGAACGCTTTCAGCAATTCGACCTCGATTCCTCTGATTCATTATATCACTTTTACTACAGCCTTCTGCAGGTTGGCGACTCATTTCACCAAGCAAACGCTAGCCGAATACGTTAATGCTATCGATCGGACAATATCACATCAATGGAACGCGATACGAAATACAACCAATGGGAATGCACAGATGCCACAGATTCATTGGTCCGAAAAAATCTATCGCATGAATGCCGCAGACCGGACGTCTCCTGTACAGCAAACCATCCAAGGAACCTGAGATCTACTTACCTTTTCCGCTCGGGTCGGACTTATCCAGTATTTAGCAAACCAGGATAATCTTTCCAACCTCCCTTACCTTCCAAGGGATGCCATGGTCCTACAGGCGATGGCAAGTTGGCGGGACGTCTACCACCCCACGAGCACTACGCCCCAAGTAATTAGTCTTCAGGACCTAACAGACACATTCCGGTTGCTGCTGAGTGCCTTGTGTGGAGGGGGTGGAGTTGGGGTTGACAGCAGCCTTTGGGAAATCCTTGTTCAGATATTTCAAGGCCTGTTGCAAATCCAGAGCATCTCGAGGCTTGTTCGGAGCTTTTAAAGATGTTCATTCTCACTTCACGTCCCCCGTCAAGAATAGTTAATGTCATCATACGGATGAAAACTGATGAAAGGCCAGAGTGTAGATGGCTAGGTCAAGAGCTGGATCACCTTGTTGAATCTTGCAAGAGATCATATGCACCAGCTCTGATTATTGCTCCAAGGATACACTTTCCAAGGGGAATGTTTCGTCAGTCTTACCTAAACAGCCCGCATCGATATCAAAGAGGGAGAGGAGGCATTTCAAATTCCTCTCGACTGTGGAAGGCAGGAAATAGGCTCACCCGAACTTCATTCCATGATAGGGTACACAACCCGCCAAGAGGGCCACGCTATTGGCCATATTGAGAATTTACCCCGAAAACGTTTCAACCTCTGCGCAGTGTTACGAACAGTTCAAAGACAACGAATCATGAACCAAACAAGGCCTAGGAGGGATGTTGAGGCTTGAGGAAGGTCCAGAAAAGGAATTTGAGGATGCGCAGGGAGGCTGTGGTCTGCAAATAGCGAAGCGCGTGAGCGTAAGCTTACAAGGACAACCGTGGAAGCTTTTATTCCTCCTTCAACATGCACATGCACAAGCTGAGGAGATGGCGTTAGGACTAAGCCATGAGGCTGCAACAGGCATGCCATGGCGTCCACTCACAACTCGGTATGACGAATTGGACCCCGGTCGCATCCGGTGATTAAGCTGCTTATCAAGGCTTAACACGGACGTTCCCTTCACCGTGTTTTCCGCCTGAGGACTCAATTCATTTCTCGACACTCTCTTCTCTATCTTCCAAGGTCAATTCGCGCAATTGAGTTGTGATGGTCAGGTCACATGGGGACGGCGTCGATGACGGCTCTGGCGTCAATCGGACCGAAACGAAAGGGCTAGAAACACGGACTGGCCCCACCAATTCCACCAAATCAGCCGAAAATGCGAATGCAGCAGGGAAAGATGAAAAGAAGAGATCAAAGGTTGCGGAACTATGGGGTAAGATGGGATTAGATGTTGGGACAGTCCTTATGATGATGAAGTACGAGAAAACTAGTGCTCATCTTAAATTGTGCTAATTGGATGCGGATAGAGCTGCTATACCTCCCACTATCGCTTTGGCTATGTCAGTACCGACGAATATAACTCGATTCTAAAATTTCTAAGCCCTAACGAATATCTAGGTATCAAGCAGATTCCGTTGCTGAGACCTACACGACCCTAGGGTATCTAGTCGCTATCATTTCCATTCTAGGGTTTTGTATCATGCCCCGGGCAAAGTTCATTCAGACCATGGCCCTAAACGTCATTAGCTGCTGCATAGGGGCTGCTGTCGGCCTACTCATGGTATGGTCTGGTGTTCAGGCTCGACTTCATACGCCTGGAAATCCTCATCCTTATAATTCTTCTCAATCTGCAGTCTGTGGTATCTGGCTCTTTTTCCAAATCTGGCTCGTCAACTCGCTCAAAGCAAAATTTCCCCAGTTTGCCTTCCCAACAATCATCTACGCCATCTTTGTCAACGTGGCCGCTACTTATGGCCCCCAATTCACAACCACCGCGCAGGCCGAGTCGTTTATTAAACGCCTGCTTGAATCTTTTCTCACTGGGTTTGGCATATCGACTGGCGTAGCGTTGTTCGTCATTCCTGTGACGTGCCGCAAAGTCGTGATGAAGGAGTTCACTGGCTACATCACAGCACTAAGGGACGGTCTTCAAGCTCACAAAGCCTATCTTCAAAGTCTCGAGACGACTGACATGTTCGGATATATCTCCAACCCAGTCCCAGACGGGAAAAATAAATCCAAGAAATCAACGAAGAAGGTTGAGGTAGAAGCCCTTAAGAAGATCACATCCACGATCACCGAGCTACATGGTAAACTGCACGGTGATCTTCCTTTCGCGAAGCGCGAGATTGCATACGGGAAACTCGGTCCAGAGGATCTCGGGGAAATTTTTAAGCACCTTCGCGCGGTCATGGTTCCAATGGCCGGGCTGGGATCTTTGGTCGACATTTTTGGTCGATTTGCGGAGATCAATGGCTGGGATTCGGAATCTGATTCTGACAATTCAGATGCAGAACCCGATGAACTGCGGAGGAAGACGGTAAACGACTGGAACGAGATCATGAGATCCGTCCACAAGCCTTTCGCCACGATAATTCAGGTCATGGATCAAGGGCTTGAACACGTTCTTCTAAGGCTACAGCTAGTGAAGCCACCGAAAAGGAAGAAAGGCACAAACGAAGCAGATCAGGAAGCAAAGGGCGACCTTGTGCAACCAGGAGACAAAGGCTTTGCTGATCATCTCGAAAGTCAAAGCAGCATCTTCTATCAAGGCAAAGAGATAACCCTACGGCGATGGGTCGAAAGAAAAGGTATCAAGTTGGCACCTGACTTTTTCGAATACCCAGGGAAGTCAGTGTACTCCGAACCTGAACAAATCAAAATGGAGCCGCATCGAACCCACCAACGTAATCAGGCGCAATTATACCTCTTACTCTACATGGAGTTTCTTTTGTACTCAATTAGCCAAGCTATATTGGCATTTGTGCGATTCGCAGATGAAAAGGATCAGGAGGCCGCAAAGTCAAGACTCATACTTCCGGGGAAGAGACGGTTCAGGAAATGGGTCGCGAACGCGTTCAAGGTCCAGGACGCAAACAGCGACGACACAACTACCGTTGGTGGCATCGATGGAAATAATACTGTCATTTATATGGGCGAAGCCTACAAAGCCCGGAAAGACCCTGAACATCTACCACCAGAGAATGCATTCGAGAAGGCCGGAAATTGGATAAGAGTAATTCCTGGATTCCTTAGATCTCCCGAGTCGGCATTCGGGCTTCGCTGCGCTTGCGCTACTATGTCGATTGCGATCATTGCATATCTCCGCGATACTCAGCGCTTTTTTATTGAACAACGATTGGTTTGGGCTATGATTATGGTGGCTATTTCCATGACCCCGACATCTGGACAGAGCGTGTTTAGCTTCATCCTGAGAATCATCGGCACCATTTTTGCGATGATTGTTGCTTTTCTCATATGGTATATACCTGATCAGAAAACAGCCGGAGTAATCGCTTTCCTCTGGTTCTTCGTTGCCCTGGGTTTCTACGTGCCACTTAAGAAACCGCAATTCATTATCGTGGGATTAATTAGTGTGGTCACCGCCACTTTGATCGTGGGCTACGAACTCGAGGTCCGCAAAATCGGACGTCAATTAGCCACGTCCAACGGGCAGCCTTACTATGCAATTTACCTATTGGCGCCTTACAGATTAGCAACCGTCGTCGGTGGATTGGCAGTAGCCTTTATTTGGACGTTCTTCCCTTACCCAATCAGCGAACATTCAGCTCTTCGACAGACTCTCGGCGGTGCCCTCTATCTCTCGGCAAACTTCTACTCTATCGTTCATGAAATGGTAATGGCTCGCATCCGTGGTGAGGAGGGAATTGCATCAGATGATGATACGTCTCCCGTAGCTAAGCTTAGCAAGACGAGAAACAAGGTCTTTGCGAAGCAAATGCTACTACTGCAGAGTCTAAACACGTATTCAGATTTTGTGAAGTGGGAGTTTCCGTTGGGTGGGAAGTTTCCGAAGAAGGAGTATGACACGATTATCAAATGTGTCTCAAAGTGAGTGCCCCACGTCTAATTACCACTCAGGAAGTTCAATTGACAGTCATTAGCATCGTACAATATACGGCCCTCTTGGGCTACGCATCTCAAACCTTTACCGATCCATCACTCAATGACGAAGCCGATCCATCTGGAGCTCAGTGGTTCCAAGATTTCCGCAAAATCATTAGCTCGGCCAACATCACCTCGCATGAAATCACATCCATGCTCGCGCTCCTCTCTTCCAGCATCACAAACAGCCAACCTCTGCCTCCTTACCTCACCGCTCCGCAATCGTATCGGCTTTCTCAGAGGCTCGAAGGCATCGACAAGGATATTCTGAGTATTAATCATATTGCGGAACCAGGATACGCGGCGTTTGCGGTAATCCAGATTAGCACCAGGTGTATCAATGGGGATTTAGAAAAGCTCTTGAAGTCAGCTCCCATTCATTTACGATATTACTAGAAGTCTTCCTGTTGAAGCATGGCGCTGACTTGATATGCAGAACCGTCAAAAAGCTTGTCGGCGAGCTAGACTTCTCATTCCATATCACGAGCACTCAGAATTCAAGTGAGAGTAGCTCAGCCGAAACACTTATCAAGACACTCTCTCGTCGAAGCAAGCAGGATTAGCCTCTTAATAGGCATCAAGAGATTCTGCCAGCCATGGATGTCGGAGGAAGTCCCGACCAACCACAATCTCTGACTGCAGCGATCCGGCAAGATCACTAGTAATCCCATTGTAGCGCGGCGCTTTCCTCGTGTTCGACTCCCTCACAGCGACAACATTCTTTTAATTGGCCTCCTCCGCGCCATCCCCCTTAGCAGTCCGACAAACTTCAGAAGCTTTTCCTCCATATGCTCTTGCTCCAACTTCTCAGCCCTTGCCATAACCTCCTCTTCTTCTCCTTGAGAAAATGCAGGCACAACTTAACCCATACCTCCAACTCCTTCACATACATTCCCGAGGGCTGAATAGAATAATACTCATCACGCAGCCAAGCCTCAACAACTACTTCATTGCGCTTCAAGTATAGTAGAGTGGTAACCCGGCCCGATAACTGAATCAGCGCGTCACCGTCGCAAACCCTAGCGCTCGACGTACTGTCGAGAATCGCACGATTAAGGGGTGCTTCTGTGTGTGGGGTGCCAAGTCCAGTAGCAGACTTATAACCTCTTCCATTTCCCGAAGTAGTTCTTGATACACTTGACGTTGGATCATGTTTGTGCGGATCTCAAAAGCCGGGCCTGGGCCGAACTAGGAGAATAGAACGCCGACGCTGGATAAAGAGACTTGTGTCTAGAGGTGATAGGAAGGGTTATTGAGGGAGGAGGTAGTTATGTAGAGGTCGGAATCCGAAATGTGTAGAATCCTACATCTGGCGCCCTGATGATGAGACGAACGAATGACCTGCGGATCAGCGAATCGAAGTTTCTTCACAGTTCCATGCTTTAATCCTGCATCATTTTGATATTTAGTCCTAAGGATGCCCACGCTCCCTTCAACTTTCCTCGCATTCACCTCCCACGCCCAACTCCAAACCCCCGCCATCGCCCGCAAATACGCTGGCACCGTCGTTCCAACCCCCAGTTCTGCACTCCCCGACTTCCGCACAAACACCTGGCACCTATATGGACTCACTTGCCCCCGGAACGCAGGGTAAACACAGCAGAGTGTAAAAAAAAATACCCACCCCCTTTACAGTTGTCACTAATTCCATTCTTTCGCACATACGCATTTCCCTAAACTAAATATATAACCACCGCACCACCAGACCAGCCAAAACCAACCTATCGCCAACATGTCTTCGTCCACATCCACATCCACCATACCAACACAACCTACCCAAAGTCCTCAACGCCGCTTAGGCGATAGACAAAAATGCATATGTCTGTCTTCAAAGCCGAGCTGGCGTCTCTAATTACGTCGCCGCATAAACGTCCTGCATCCACATCCACATCCACATGCAGAACTTCAACGGCCTAGTCTGATTGTGGAACCAACTACAAAAATCCCTACGCTCAGCAAACTGACGGCGGCACCGCCTTCCAATTCATCCTCAACACCCAGCAAAGACAGGAATCCGCGTCTGGAACGCCTACTAGAAACTCGTCGAGAAGGCGGGCGAGGAACACAAATGGAGCGCGAGCGGGCTGAGCTCGTGGAGGGAGTGGAATATCTTAGATATCTTGGATTAGGTTTGGGGAGATTACGATTCTTTGAGTGGCTCTGTGGATATACCTGGGAACCCTATTCATAAACGCCACGGATACACACATTGATGCTAGGCGTGGATGGAGAAGGGTATGTATGATGAGATTCTAGCCTGGTGGTCGGATTGATGGGTTTGTAGATTGTAAACCTACACTATTGTCATGTCAAGTATGTCGCCACGGATATGCTGTCGTAAATCGTGACAATCGTTGCTGCGACGGTAACACCGTGCTCAGCCTCCTTCAATAGCATGCCAATTACACCGATATCGTCTCCCTGGTTTTCCCAGGCAAAGTCGGCGTCTCTTGTCCTTTTTCCATTGCTTTCTTCTTGTCTCACAGAAGCGCTCATTTCTTCCCTTTCTTCTTCTTCTTCCCACCACCACCGGCTTTCTGTTCCACTACTGGCGCCACTAATTTCACATCCTTCTCCACCATCGGTGCCGCGACCCCTACTCCCGCCCCCGCGTCCACAGCCGCAGCTACACTCGTCTCCTCCACCACCTCCGGCAAAGCCGCCATACATCTTCCCAACCGTCCCAAACTTCCCACTAACCTCCCCACCTCTGCCGCCTTAGCTGTCTGATACTGCAAACATGCTCCCGACACCGGATCATACGTTTTGAGCTTGAAGGTTACGACAGGTTCTGTGGGGTCTTGTACAGCGGCGGAAGTTGACGGCGGGGGTGAGCCCGTGGACGATATTTTGGGTTTCGGGTGTTTAGAGAGGTACTTTTGGCGTTTAGAAATCTTGGAGGCGGTTGGTTTGAGGACGGTGTATTTTGATGTTATGCGTGCCTGGGGGGTTAAGGTGTTAGTGAAGGGGAAGGGGTTGGTAGGCGGTTGGCGGGGAGGACGTACGGTTGTTGGGCGCGCTTTAAGGAGGAGGGACGATTGCTCGTACCATTCTGCACTTGTTTTGAAGAGCGGCATCCTGAATTGTAGTGGATCTGTGGGTGTAGGGTATAACGGAATTGACGATGAAGGCCCGTGGGTGCCAAAGCGGGAGGTAACTTTTCGCGGGGTCCGGAAAATCGTCGGGCCGAGTTTTCAGACTTCAAGGCCTCACGGCGACGTGCCCTTTCCTTTCTACAGTTGTCTGGGAACTATCAAATGAGAAATACCGGCAGGATATCCCAGTGCGGGGCTCTGGAGAAGGAAATTCGCATTTTTAGGCAATAAAGGCAAAAGTAAAAACTTGAAGAACCGCGTCGAAGTTTCCAAAGTCCCTGACTCAAACAACCGCATTTATATGGAGAAGCTCACTAAAAGCGCCCCCTCTGCACGATTTCATGCAGAATCTGATTTTATAATACCTCGAACATCAATATGGCGAATTCTCTAGCTTCCGGTCTGCACGACCTTCACCTCAACCCGGAGAACAATATCCCAGCCGATGTCGAATCCCCACTGCTCGCATTAGACCAAGATTCAGAGACCCGATCCACAGAGCTAAAAGCCACAATTACCAACCTCATCCAACGCTGCAAAACCCTCTACTCAGAAGTCCAAACCTACATAACCGCCGTCGACGCTAACCAAAAACTCGCCAAAAATCACAACCCCGTCGAATACCGCAGTCTGCGCAACGACTTCAAAAATGAGCTCTCATTCCTCACCAAACTCGTTGACGCAAAACTACCAGAAGAAAAGGCTCAGCATTACATCGTGTCCTCAAACTTGGTGTATTATGAAGCCCTCTGGGATGCCGCGAAACGCTCGTTGGGGTTGCTTAGTTTCCGGAAATACTTCTTTTGGAATCGCCGACAGGAGGACCATGGCGCTGCGTACACGGGTCTAAGTCTGGGAAAAGGAAGTCAGGTGAAAGGAAAGAATGCGGCGTTGGTAGATATTGTTGCGGGGGATGGGATGGAGTGGATTCGCGTGTCGACTATCTCTGAGAAGCGGCTCCTCTTCGATCTCGCGAAGCTGGGTTGGCAGAATGACTCAGACGATGACGATGAAGATATGCCCGATGCGCCGGCGAGTAGCTGGGAAGACGGTGATGACGAGGATCAAGTCGACATAGTCAAGAGTGCTCGCGAACTCGCTCGAGCAGCGCGCGCGAATCCGATATGTGGACGTCCACCAAAAGTACGGTTTGTGTTGACGAGGATATCGTCTAGAAAACTAAAAGAAGTCGACACCGTGCTCGACAAAATCAGGGCCACGGGCGCAATCGTGGAGTGCGCGAACGAACTCTCCGCGCCCCCATTACTATCCACTGTCCTGCCAAACCTACTCGTCGACCGCTCGCGTATTCTCTCTCAGGTCCTCAATATCGACTGCACAATCCTCCTCGCCCTCATATCCGATATCTCGCATTCCGAATGTCCAGTCCTAGACTGGTACCCTACCGAAGTCCGGGCCCAGATCAAAGAAGAAGCAGCAGAGAAACTCCTGCCAACCCATCTTTACCCCGCAATCGGTTCGCACCCTATGGTCTGTACACAAGAAGCCGCCGACCAAATGAATCTCATCGTCGACACGCTCGCAACTGACACCGAGAAAACCCGAGCGAACCTTCTCCTCGCTCAAAACGACCGTGTCTCTTCATCACCTGCTTCATTACTTCAAGGCTGGGCTTTAATATCCGACCACCCCGTCCCCAAAATGCTCCAGCTCCCCATCAAAGTTGTGCCATCCAATCTCCCAGCTCTGACACCCCGACTCCCGAAAGTCGCCCAAAAAATCGGAAAAGAGCTCAGTCCGCTGAACCAGGCGATATTCTTCTACGGCTGGGCTGAAGGTCTCACGACGTTGAGCTCGAACCGTACGAGAGCGAGGCAGATCGAGCATGCCATCAACGAAGAGGGGCTGGAAGATGGTGAGGCGGGACCGCATATCTGGCTCTGTGGGGAGAGTCGCAGTTTGATTGCTAAACAGGGGAGGCGTAAATAAAGGGAATAGTCGTAATAGGAGTATCTGGTATGCTCGCAGGTCACTGAAATGAGTTTTACTCTCTTATGGCCAACCCTTTCTAGGTTCTTCGGGCTAATCTAACATCAGGTGCCAGAGCTACCGATGATCGTCAGGGATAAGAGCCATACCCTGTGTTACTTCCTGGGAATATCGCTGGGAAGTGCTGGTGTAGTGGAGGAAAGCAGAAATAGGAGGATTGGAGTGAGCTTGTTTTATGTATTAAGGTCGTATACAACACATCTAGTGCAACTGCCTCCACCCGAGTGCTGAAGCTCTCGCTTATCTTAATGATCTTCGGTACGAGTGATTCGGCCCCGGGTATGGCCATGGAGGTGCATCGGAAAATTCTAATTAATCGATGAAGGTGTTGACAGTCTGAATACGGGTTCGTCGAGGAGAAAGACCGAACGTGGCTTGAAGTACCCAGCAAATCTCCCCACCTCATATTAGTACAGGGGCAAGCACCATGTCAAGCAAGGACACCCGTAACAGGAACACTAAGCGCAAGGCAGATGATTCAGACTGTGATGATTCTCCCAAGAAGAGTAAGATCGCGATTGCCGAGGATGCTTAAACCTACCAGCTCTCGCATCTAGTGCTTCTAACATTCCAATTTCCTGGGCAGTTGAATACTGGGTGGCGTAGTTCATGGAATGGCGTTCACTGCTGTTCATAGATACCACACCAGGTGACAGTGATAGTTAGGCTTGAGCTGCACTACTCTTAATCAAAAGAATGACACTTCAAAGCAGCTGCACATGCTACAGCATATTCTCATACTATAGGGAAAATTATTAGTGCGCAAATTGTCAGTTAAACCGCTTGCTGGAATTCCGTGTATTAGTATAAGGGTGCAGGTTTCTATGCAAAATCCCTACCTCATTCTACCACCCTATCCAGCCCGCTCCCACCCTTTCTGACCCCTAACACACTACAATCGCTATCTGAGGTCTCTGGTATCCCTAGAGAACCCGCATTCGCATACTGAATCATCGTAGCATTTAATCTGGAGGATGGTTCTGGTGTTCATTTTCGCTATCACCTTTCCCTTTCCCTTTCCCTTTCCCTCTCCCTCGGCCTCGGCCTCGGTCGCTTCCGGCGCATTTCCCATGTCCACGGTGCAATCTTGTGGGGTTGGAGTGAGGGTGTGGATCTTCAGGGGGAGGGGGAGGAGTGTTAGAGGTATTTTGCCTATCAGCTCTGCCCGAACCAGTCCCCGCATCCGCATCTGCACCTGCACACTTAAATTTAGGTTTGCTTCCCCTCCCTCGTGCTGCTGCTACTCCCTTGATCTTGATGTCTTCGGTACTGCTAATTTCGCTGCTGGGAGTAGCCTTTACCTAAGAGACAACCGGCCGAACTTAGTACAGTTCTAGGACAAAAGTCTGTGTACATGAACCGTGCGCGAACACCAAAACATCGCGTCGCGCATCCAACCCCTCCCCAAACCACTACCCCACAACCATGCCACGCTGTTCTTTTAGCTAGGAAATAAGCAGAAATCGCGGACAAGGGGGTAAATTAGCAAGGGCTAGTATTATTTTAAAGTATAAGGCAGGATGTACTTATTAAGAAATAATAGAGGAGTATAGCGTGTTGCGTAGATGCGTGCACAACATAATTTACAGATAGAAAACTCACCACACCACTTATTTACTACTAAGATCTAGCTGGCCACATGCGATTAATATTTATAAGAGTTGCCTCCTTTTTTGCTAGGTTTAAAAGACCCTGAAAATCTAGTATAATCGCCTCATAGAGGAAGCTTACCTTATAGACTGTGCACACCTACTATCTAAGCGTACTGTGTACTAAGCTCTTAAGAAACAAGGGTTAACAAACTACTGTTGCAATAAGAGACTAAAACTGCTAAAGAAGTACACCTAAATTAGGTGTTAATTTACTAGGATGTACTGCTACTTTAACTAGAAAAGAAGGACTGTTAAGTTCTCTAATAAGTTGTTACGGTCTACGGTTAGACCAGCGTAACTCCACCAGCAGTGCTCCACAATCTAGCCGGGTTGGAACAAGGCTCGCTTACAGACTAATTGGAGGACACGGAGGCAGCACAGCTGCCTAAAATTACAGAAGAATGCGTTGTCTAATAAGGGAAACAGGCTGCGAGTCCTAGGAGCTAGAAGAAGCTTATAGAAGCCCCTCTTAGCAGGCTCCCCTAAACTCCTGCTAGCTCCCCTTAGCAACTCTAGCACATGTATATAGTTCTTATATTAAATAACCTTTAAAAAGTGTGTTTAACATTTAGTTTATTCTTTACATAGACTAAGTAGCATTTAGCTTTTTAAAGAGCTGCAATACTATTTGTATATCTTATACTATATATACCTCTAACTTTGTCTGTTAGGACTGTTTAACCTAGCCTCTCTACTGCTGCATTAAGGGTAAACTATAATCTAGTTACTCTATATTGCCCTTTATTAGCCTAATAGCCTGTACATAGGACTGTACACCCTACTAGATTAGCCCTTACTACCTGTCCTACTTCCCCTCTAGGAATACTATAAGACCTAAGTGCTTTCTAAAGTAAGAATTATAACATTAAATACTACCTTTTTAAAAAGTATAGCAACTTTTTAACACAACTTAGATTCTAACATAGCCTATGCTGTGCTATTAGGATCTATAGAAGTTCCTACCTAAAGTAAAGCTATTTTAGTAAAACAAATTAATTTAATCTAGAATAATATTAAAGAACTTTAGTAGATTAGTAATAAAGTTAGTAAGCTTTTAAAACTTAAAAAAAAAATTACTAACCTCTACTAAAAAGTAATAAAATTATAAAACTTTTTTAAACTTTTAAGCTCTTAGAAAGCTACTAATTAAGCCTATTAAATACATAAACTATAAGTAAAGTTAGTAAAAATCTAAAACATTTTAACTAAAAAAATAAGTATTATAGCTAAAAAAGCTTTAAAACTAGCCTTTTTAAAGCTTTTTAAAAGATTACTAAAGGACCTTTAACTATTCTTTACAAGATGCTACTTTTATATGTAATATAATAAAGAAGCATTTTAAACTAACATAGAAATAATATTCTAGATAAAACTATACTTAAAAGGCCCCCCTATAATTTAGTTCTAACTCTATGTAAATAATTAAATAAACTTTAAAGTAAATAGTAAAGCACTTACTTTTAAAATAAAAAAAATATTTAGTAATATTAAAAACTTTAAAAAAGCCTTAACAGCTATTTATAAAACTTTTAATAAAAAAAAGATTATAGCTAATAAACTAGACACTATAAAATAAGAAATAAACTTAGTCTAGAACTATGCAGCACGCTTTAGAGAACAGCTAGCTATCTGTAGATAGACAGACTAGAAGGCTCTCTGCTGCATGTTTTATAACAAGTTAAGTAAAATAGTAAAAAATAAATTTATACATAGTAAAAAACTAACTACTTTTAAAAACTTTATTATGTAAGTAACAACTTATAACAACTATTATAAAAAGTGTAAAAAAAAAAAGAAATAAAAAGAAACTTTTTAAAGACTAAAGTTTATTCTTAAGAAAAAGAAGCTTTTATAATATAATAAAGAACTAATAAACCTTAGTTATGTAAAGCACATATAAAGCCTTTTCTCTAAGAAAAGCTAAGTTTTAGGACATAATAGGCTGCCTTTAATAAAGGAACAATAAAAGTAGCTAGAGGACAAGGCCTGCCTAAACTATAAAAAAGTAGGACATTTCTACTAAAACTGCCTAAACTTTTAGAAGAGAGAGAATAAAAATACTACTATAATAATAAAAGCTATTACTACTAAATATAGCCTTATAGACAAGAAAATATTAAAAAGACTAAATAATAAACTTTACTAGTAATACAGAAGTAACTATTTTTAAACAACTATTTTAAAGTGTACTAGAAAGTAGTTATTTAAAACTTTAGTAGCCTTAATATAGTATTACAAGACCTTATAATTTTTAAAAGATATAAAAAAAAAACTTAAATTTAAGGATATATTATAAATGTTTAAAAAGGAGAAAAGTAGTTCCCTTTTTAAGACTAGACCCCTAGTACTTTAGCAAAAGAGCTTTTTTAATAGTTTTAAAGATGTAAGTGCTAGAAGTGTAGTTTATAACATAATTACCTAAGTTATTACATAGTTCTACTTTACTAGATAAATATTAGTAATAACTACCTTATATTTAACATTATATAATAAATAGCTAAAGTTAAGTATAATATTATAAATAAATAAAAATAATAGTAGTTTTTTATTAAGATTAAAAACTAAAAACTAAAAGGACTAGGTAGACCTGCTAGGTTTAAAGTCCTAAAGCTAGCACTTAGAAAGCCTAAAACACTGCTTCTAAGCCTTATAATTAGCAAGAAGGCTTTAGTAATATAATAAAGCTATAGTTAGTGTGCACTTTGTAAAAATAAAACTTATAGCACTAATAATTACTAATAAAAAGAACACCTTGTTTAGATAGTACAAACACAGGAATACTCTTAGTAGACTTAAAAAAGCCCCCTTAACATGTTACATAGACCTAATAATTATCTATACTTTTAGTACTAATGCACATAACAGTATTGCATTAAGCATTAGAATAATAAGTATAGAATAGGCTAGTAGCTTACATAAAAAAAGAACTATAACAGTTGCCTATAGTAAGAAACAGCTTTAGCCTGTAAAACTATAAACTGCTACACCTGCTAAACTGCCCTTTTATATAAGCAGAAGAGGTAAGTAGTGTGTAAAAAATAAAACAACTGCAGGTTCTACTACTTTTAGTAAAAAGTAGTAAGAAAAGAAGACTACCTAACATTACATTACTTAGTTAAAAATTATAAATGTAAAGCAGCTAACTACTACAATTAAAAACATTAAATTTATAAAATAAAAAAAAATAAGTTTAATAATAACTTATAAGATATTAATCTTTATTTTTTTTTAAATAAAGAAGTTAAACATAATATATTAGCAGTAATTATAGTAAAATAAGAGGTAGAACACAGCCTAACAACTACCTTTACATATAAAGGATAGCCTAGGCTAGCTTTTATAGACAGCAGATGCACTTTTACTATAATAAATAAGGATTAAGTAGATAAACAAAGTATACTATTTAACATAAAAAAAAACTTATTTAAGGTAACCCTTACTAATGCATTATTAATTAAATATAGTAAAGGATAGATTAACCTAGAAACTTATAAAAAGGACCTTAAAACCTCTAATATAAAAGACTAGAGGTCTATAAACATACTTTAGCTAAAAGGTAAGTACAACGCTATTCTAGGCTATAACTAGCTATAAACACATAATTTTGTAATTAATTAGAGAACTATAACTATAAAAACTTTTAATAACTACACACACATAACTTAGTTAGTATGCTATAATAATAAATACTTAGTCTATAAATAAGTAAAATAAAGTAGTAGTTACTACTTTAAAAAAAGAAAACTCTAGAAATTTCTTTACTAGGAGCTAAAAGCCTAGGTAATATAAATAATAAAA